TGAAAGCTAGTCACATGGAAGTTACTTACCAGAGCAGGGGTGATTTTTTTTTTTGTTTTGTTTTGCATGTTTCCATTTTACTTTATTGTAGTACAAAGCAGCTGCAATCTCTGTGGTGGAGAGTGCAGCTGAGCTGATCTATCCCTTCAATATTGCACTTTCACTGCAGGGCATTGTTTAATACCAACTGTGCAAAGAAGGAGGAAAGAAAAAAGAAAAAAAAAAACAAAAAACTTGTGCACTCAGGAGTAGTAGTATCCACCAAAAAAAATAAATAAATAAAATCACAGGCCATGACCTTTAATATCTATCACTCTCAGTCAACTCTGCCCTCTTTTCCTCACATGAGCTCAACAGCTGCTCTTAAAGGAATATGGCCTTTCCAGAACAGCATCTGTGGCCCTTACAGAGATCACTGGTAGAACTTAACTATAGTTAAGAAGCCTCAGATCTCTACACAGTGAAACCGCTGGTCCGTCAACACCCTGTTAACTGTAGCCTCAACATCACTGATCAGTCCCCCTGTTGCTCAGTGGACAAGGATAAACAATGGCATTTGTTCCACAATTTCAGGCACTTTCCACTGGGTATGCCAACAGCATGGAGAGAAACATAATGGAGGGAAATCCAGTATTACATGAAAGGGAAAGAGGAGATTGTTACATCACCACCGGGCATGTTTTCCTGTGGAAGCCCCAGACTTGCATTATGAGCAGTATGCAAAGTCTTCAGCAAAGTAGGGCTGCCACAAACGATTATTTTGATAGTCGACTAGTCACCGATTATTTTTGCGATTCGTCGACTAATCAGATCATGTATCCATTGGACGTAAAACATACAGCTTACTGCACAAGCATGCATCTGCTCTTATAGAACTATCATTAGCTTACAGCTTTAAGTGTGTAAGGTATGTGCTAACTAAAAATAAAGACAAGATGATAGTTGAATAAATGTTAATGAAATTTACAGATTGTTTCGGTGAAGTTTAATAAACTCCTTGCTATCTAAAATATAACGGGACACCGGAGTATATTCTCCAGCATCTCACACTTCTGATAATCAGTTGTCTGCTTGACATTTATTCACTGTGTAAAAACTATAACTTTATTTCTCAGCCAAACCGATTTACTCAGGAACAAATAAAGTACTAAAAAAAAAAGCCAAACAATAACATTTGTAAGTTATCTAAGTTACTTATATATGTTTAACCTGAGTAGCGAAAGACGGTGGTGGGTTTGAAAACGATTTGCCGGGAGTCTGGTGTTCTCACGGGCTCTAGTGAGCCTTGTCCCCGGCCAGCTATCAAGCTAGTGGGTAACAGACGTCTCCGTAAATGTCGGAGCGCTTTTGAAAATATGTGGTGTCTTGATAAACTGAGCAGATATTTGAGGTTTACACAGCTACATTCTCGCCTGAAAATATGTTAAACGTATATTTTGTGACCCAGAAAGAATAATAAGAGTAATATTAAAACTAACTAGCTGCCGCCATTGTTGGAAACTGAGCTGGGCTGCGCTATGAATTCTGGGACACAGATTCTTCTTCTTCTGGGTTTAACGGCAGCTGGCATCCTTGTACATGCAGTGCTGCCATCTTCTGTTTCAGTCCGTTATTACACTCTTAAATCCTACTTATTTCTGCGTCTTTTGTGATCTTACAAAGCTTCAAACGACGTGTCTACTATTAAATCAGTCGTCGACGTAATCATGACTAGTCGACTAATCGTGGCAGCCTTACAGCAAAGAACCGCAAACAAGTAATCTACCAACTGTTACAAATCAATTTCTTATCCTTATTTTTGTTTATAAATGCATTGGCATAAAAGAAGCGATAAAAAAAAAAAGTACTCTTTTTTTAACTGTAATAAGAAGTCCTAATCTAAAATAAATAAGGATTATGTTGAACTGTGAATTAGGTCTGGGCGATTAATTCAATTTAAAACTCAATTATCTACCAGTTACGAACACAATATTCACATTCACTGCTTGAGTCAAGAGGACCAAAAGAAAGCCTTCAGTCAAAAAACACCAATGTAAAAGTTCTCTTGGGCACAGATTTTATGCCCAAGTAAATACAAATGCTACTTAGAGAGAAAAAAGTTACTTTTCTTTAACCAACCCTGGAAAGCCCAAATATATTTGGTGGCCACCAAAACTTCTTATTTAGAGGAAAAACAGCTGCACAAAACACCCATCATGATGTCGAGGAGCACAAGAGTAAGAGACTGAAAACACGGGGGAGTTTGGTTATGAGATGAACTCAGTAGCATATTATTTATTTATTCTAGTTCTAGTAAAGATAGTCTCATCAAGTGTTGCAGGCCCATAGTCATTTAACTTCTTCGTGGGAATACACCAACAACAGTACCTCAAAATGCAGTCAAGTGTCCTCAGCATGAATTGGAACACCCATTCTAAGTTTAGCTTGGTTATGTGAAGGGCCAATCATTTTGGATGTCCCCCCCCTAAAAAAAAGGAACCAGGTGCATTTTCACTACTGCTTTACCCTGACAACAAAACTACACATACAAAACACAAGGACCTCAAATCTCCGCCTTGGTATCCATCTCTAAATTCTCCTGCTACATGATGACTGATAACTTCCACTCATTCATGGCAAATGTCATGACCATTAGGTGTTTTGTTATAGTCCGTCCCCAAAGCTCTGAGCAATATAGACACAGACTGTCGGGATATGTGCAGCACAGGAGTGAAGGAGGGCAGAACTTGGCAGCCAGATGACACTGCAGCAAACTGAGCAGAGCAGAGCAGATCAAGAGGGCATGTGTCAGAGCTCAGACAAACATACCAATCTATTAGTTTCCACAGAAAATGTTAAAATTATGTAATGCTGCGAGCACAGCGTGCAAGCTAGGAGGTTATCTTTACTTGCGAAACCTGCCCCGCCCTTTACCACTTCAGCTCCAGACTCGCATTACAAAAACGTGAGAACAGTTGAGGTGAAACATCTTAAAGCAGCTGACCGACTATGCTTTATAACAATAACATCAAATCCCACATAACTCACGGTGACATTTAGTACATTACCACTTAACTTGGTTTGGCTTAAGTCTTACTACAGGTCCCCGGAATATCCAAGTTACTGCAACCGTGATAATAGTCAGTGGTGAACTAGTTCAACTTCACTTTTACACTCCATGACACACCTGAAACCACTTTAGCGCTACCATTAACTGACCTTTCCCACGACTAAATACCGGTTCTCGTATTTGTAAAGCCAACTTCCTTCAAGTGCGAATTAATAAAGTTAGCCCTCAGTTAGCTCCAACATTAGCGAATAAGCCACAGCCCCTTCAGTTAATAAAAGTAAGTTAGTAAAAGAGCACAACGTAAAAGTATCTATGTAAACTCACCTTAAACTTGTCCTATTGAGGATTTATGTTCTAACGAAGAGTTACTGGTCCCAGTGGTGCCAATTTACAAATCTTTTCGCCGTTTTTCTGCTCAGCAGCGGCACCATGGATCAACTGACTGAAACAGCCGTGTCAGTTATAAGCAGACGACCCTGCACATCCGGTCAAGATTTTCACAATATGACTGCGAGGACAGGCGATGACGTATATATAACGCCAAGCAAAGAGTTTCACAGACATCATAGAGCTGAAGGAGACTGCTTGAATTAAATTACACACTTTATTAAGCAATCAGCTCATGTGAGAGCTTTAAAACAATTAAATAATGAAATGCATAACAAAAAAGTCCTTTTTTTGTTTTCCATAAATAATGTTTGAATTTACAGCTTTCGCTTGAAAATATTTGTGCTCATATGTTTGCAACTTTTAACAAAAACAAGGGTTTTTTTGGCAAATAAAATAAGTATGTAAACACATTTTATGGTTATAGCATATTCAAAACAAAGGTGCTATACCATAAAACACACCACAACAATACAAATAAATAATAATAAATATTAGATTTAAACAGCACACTATATCATGGTATTTACATAAAATTATACAAGAGACTGTCATCCAGCCACAGTTCCAGTGATCAACCACTTCCAAAATCATGAAAGTAAATCATGGTCATGGTGGTAATGTATTCTATCTCTCTATCTCTCTCTCTCTCTCTCTCTCTCTCTCTCTCTCTCTCTTTCCCTCATTATATATGTATATCCAGGATTTTTCATTTATCTATATATTTTTTAAATTATTTACTCCAAAAATATTTTTATACAAGTTTAAAATACATTTTAATTAATGAAATGGCAAAAAGAAAAAAAAAGAAAAGACACTTGGCCTTAACTGTATGTGGACCAATAGGGACCCTCAAAGGCTTATTTTAAACCAGAAATAAATTACTTGTGGCCTCATTATAATATTGCACTTGTAATCTGAAGAAGCTAATCTGGAAAAAAAATGTTTAGCAGAGATGAACTCTGTTTAGGCAACATAAGTGGTGCATTTGTTTCTCGATAGTCTCGGTGTCACACACTTTATTTTGAAATCACATGACTTCCGATGTTGGACTAGTCAAGATAGATTTCTTATGCAAACGAGCGAGACGCGCATTCTGACGTCACATTCCCCAGAAAACTTTTTTAGATTACTATTTATGAAAAGTTAGTAGTTCCCACTGTGAGGTCTGTGGCGCTCCAGACCATGTCATCTGAAAACAATGGATACGGAGGTACAAAGAGCCAACAATATAGCACATCTACTGCTGTTTGGGGTAATTTTGGTGGGGACTCTAATTAAATCTCACCAGATATGAGAACTGGGTGCTGCTGGCCTCTGTTCCTATGTATCGCTGCTGACAATATCCATGTTTTCTTTTTTAAATTAAAATGAATCAGCAACAGAATGACACAAATTCGCCTCTGAAAATCAGAAAGTACACTGTGGAATCGGAGGAGGCATGTTTTTTTCATTCTCTTACAAATATTTATTCAGATAATGAATGTGTGAGAAAATATTCTCAATGAAAGATGATTTTAAAAAATAAACAACCACAGATGGCTTTTCAGAAATAGGAAGCTATAACCACCTTGTGCTTCCACCAAAATAACGCATGTAAAGCCCATTGACTAATTCTGTAACTTGAGCTAAGATATGATTAACAGAGATGTGCAATGGTCACTTTCCAATGAACAATAGATTTCTTTCACACCAGCAGATGACATATGACATGCAAATAAACTGACTGCTCTTATTGTTGAAGGGTCAATACACACAAATTGACAAATTACAACCATAACTGTTTATCAGTGCATCAACAGTACGGATATTTTATTGAAATATAAAAGCAAAAAACATTTAAAGGAGTTTCTGTTCATGTATTGTTCACAAAAGTTTATAAAGGGGTTAAAGACAAGCAGCCGTGGGAACCTAACCTTCCAGTAAATTTGGTTTCTAAATTTAAATTTGGTTTGTAAAAACAGAGTGTTTACTTTGGGGACTTCAGTCAGAAATCACAGGCCACAGCACGTACAGCTTACACCACTTGACAACCTACTGATAACCAAGAAACAGTACCATGCAGAGACCTGCTTTGCTGCTGTGGCAACAGCAAGAACATATAGGTCATAGGCTTTTTGAAGGCTTGACCTCTGATTATTCTCCAGACTACACATTTATTTTCAACAAAGACTACAACCCGCCCGCCCTAACAGTAACCTGAAAGCTTTTTATTTAAACAGAATGAATTTAGTAAAGTAAAGAAAGCTGTACTTTTTTACACAGCTTGTTATTTCAAATCATAACTCCGCACACATAATGCAACTAAAGAAAAGCAGCATTTAATTACACAGAAAACAGCACATTGGACACTGTGTCAGGGCAGAGCTGAATCATACTGTTTCAACCTTGTTTAATCACAATTTGATGGCAGACACGTTTCTCTAAACCCTTTCACTGTCTTTTCGTTGCTTTTTGGAGAAAATGATCATGGATAATACTCCTGATTGTTGACTTGAACTAGAAGTGGAAGTAGTAATAAATGCAGAACTTTTGAAAACCTTTTCAAGTTACACCTTCTGTAATTAATTTTTAATACATCTTATATCATTTCACAGGCAAAGTCATTAGTGAATTCATGGAAAAAATAAAAAATTACAGAAAAAATGTTAGCAGCAGCCCAAAACAGACTCAGTAAGGTAAGAGGGAGTTTTGTAACTTTATTTTAAAAGACCAAGATTTATTTCTCAGCTTGTCGCCAATATCATTTAGCCCCAATCCAGTTATCAGAAAGATGGACGATAACTCTTCATCAGTGTTTCAGCTTTTTAGTAGTTGAAGGAAATGAGCAGGCAATAAGAAAACATCTCAACACATATAATTAGCATTTAAATTTTTAGCAGATGTGACAACGGGTCAGAGTCGAAATGAACGATGAGACATACTTTTTAAAGCACATGTAAAGAAATAAAGTGCAAGAGGAATACAATCATCAAAACCCCGCAAAACATACTGATAATGAACGTACAAAAAATTAATAAAGTCTGTTAACATTTAATACTGCTAATTCTGCCTTTTATTAAATTCAATATTTAAATCACTTCTATTTGATAACTTTATACCACTTCATTACCATACAGTGTATGTTCTCATTAGCACCGGTGTGGAAGGTCAAGTTAAAGTGTCAGCAATCCGATGTCATGCATAGTAATCCTTCGTGTCCATCTCTGAAGATTTCATCAGCACTTGTCTTTTCATCAGCACTTGTCTTAAGTGTGGAAACCGCTGCTGTATGTGATATTTGACCTACTTGATTTGACCTTAAACCTGTCAGAGCACTGTCAGTTCCACTTATTTTGTTTTACATTCATAACAACAGTGACAAACACAAGCTTTTCAACCTTCTCAATGTGAGCACATAGCTGATTTTTCTCCATTGAGCAGCAGTGCCATTGCTCCCTGTGCCACAGTCAGTGAAATGTGGACGGAGGGAGCATCTGTCCAATGTGCTAAAAAAAGAAGTCCAAGTGGTTCCCCACAGAAGTTCCCTGGAGTGTTGTACAGGAAGTTAATTTGAAGGAAAAATTATCGCTTCACTTCCAGGTGGCGGCAGTGGGGCGAACGCCTGCACTCCCCTTGGTGCCCTTTGACCCAAGTGACTGACCGGAACGGCTCCGCAGGTCACGTTCAGCATTCTCGCTCTGCGCCTGCTCTTCGTCATACCTGATGACACAGAAACAGTGGATGTTCAGGGAAAGTGTAAGCAAAGGGATTTCCTGAAACAACACCCCCGTATTGTGCACAACAGCTGTATTTGAAACTCTATGCAGCATCACTCTGACGGCTCAGCTGGAAGAGCAGATGATTGTAGTGAGTGTTTAGATAAAATCCATAGGTTCAGCATACAGTATGTTGACTAGTTAAGCAGCACCAAACAAATATTCCAGTGGAGTTCTGCTTATGTAATGGGATTCAAGGTGTGCAAATACATTCTGTTAAATAAATATTTAATATCACAGAGTGAAATATGGAGTTAGCATTCATATAAACATCTATCTAGATCTCCATTAGTTAAATAAACAGCCTCCTTTGATCCAGGTTTAAACCAGTGACCTAAGGCTTCCCATGTTAGTCCTGCGCTCTACCAAGTGAGATATCGAAGGGAGCCAGTCCACAGTGTCCCACTGAAGTAGTTCCACTAAAGCAACATCTTTACACGAATATATGATAAGCACAATTCTCTAAAAAGGGCAGCAGTTAAAAGAGCTCTATTAGGCAATAAATGAACTGATCAGTCATCCGAGAAAAAAGAGGATTTCACTAACATCTCCCTTCAAGCTGGAGTTGAACCAGCGACTAAGGATAGCCACGGATACGCCGTCAGCCCAATCGACTACCTAAGGATATGACGTTGTATCCATGTTATGGTCATCTACTCGACCAGCTGAGCTATTGAAGGAAGACACACACACAGAGCTCATTAGGATGACCTATTTTATCGACAAAACACTGATTATCACACAGGTCCGTTAAAACAAGAGTTAGTTACAGCATAGTATTACTGGTATTTTCCTATATTTAGAAGTGGTCAGACCGTAATTAATAAACTGAGCACCACACACTATTAAAAGCCTCTGGTTTGAGTCAGATTTGAGCTAAAAACTCAAGTAAGAAAGTTACTTAGAAAGTAAAATCCAATGTAGATGGACACTCCTCTAAGGAAAAGAGGATTTCACTAACATCTTCCTTCAAGCTGGAGTTGAACCAGCATCTAAGGATAGCCACGGATACACCGTCAACCCAATCCACTACCTAAGGATATGACGTTGTATCCATGTTATGGTCCTTTGCTCTACCAGCTGAGCTATTGAAGGAAGACACTCACAGGGAGCTCATTAGGACGACCTATTTTATCCATAAAACACAGGTTATCAAACAGTCTTTTATTACAAGTTCAGAAGATTATACTTTATTTATTTATTTACACTATAGTTTTTTATATACATATCTATATCTATATCTATATATATA